AGCGAGTTACACGTCGCGTCTCGCAGGTCTCCGCTAAAGTTTAAAAGTGATGTGTGTGGATCTGATCTAATGCCAGGGACCAGCAGCACAAACATGTTTCATGTGTTTGACTGGGGCCGCGTATTTGCGAGGATTCTTTGGGCTGCGAGACACAGAGGTGCGCGACAGCCCGGTATGTGTGTGTGTACAATACATGTATGTGTGTGTGTGTGTAAATATAAGCTCCAATGTAGTTCTGACCTGCACTAGTGTGGAACTTTGGCGGTAACAGAGGGGAGAGATGATGCGTGTGGATGTTACGTATGGAGGGGGGGAAAGTGTTTGTGTGTGTGTGTGTGTGTGTGTGTGTGCGCGCGCGCGCGTGTGTGCGCGTGCGTGTGCGTGGCTGCGTGCATATGTGGAGCGTGCGCCATGAAAGTCGCCCGTAGTCTACTAATGCATTGGCGCACACAGCTAGATACGGACCCGCTCGTCACATCGTACAAATAGGGCTTAAAATAGCCTTATTAAGAGACCTCCCCTCTCCGCTTTTTCTTATTTTTAACCGACAGCTTTGACCGGTTAACGCTGTGACGGTCAACCACCGGTTAAACGGTCACCGATTTACATCCCTACTTCCAACGTCTCAAAGCAGCAACACCAGAGCAGTTGGATTTCTCAGATGGACGGTAATAAACCCACTCCCATCTCACTTCTTCACTTCTGTCAGTCTGGCAGAGGACCACCAGACCTCCTCCAAACCCCTACAGAAAACCCCCACAAAGCTGAGCCAGTGCCCCACATGTCTCCAAACAGCCTCCAGACAGGTGCTCTGCTTTGGTAGTGGAAGATTAGAAGTCTAAATCAGTGAGTGGTTTGAGGGACGAGCCAAGAGGGCTGTGTGAAGGCCCTGGGGCTTTGTACGTCCGTGAGTCAGACTGGAACACAGGAAGGACGTCTATGTAAGAGAGAGAGAAAGAGAGAAAGAGAAGGAGGTGGATGTAAGGGCAGGTTTTATGCAGGAGGGGGAAAGTGAGAAAAGAAAAGTAAGGATGGTGTTCTAGACTCTGCGTCGTGCATTAGACCTTTATACTGCACGGCTTCGATTTGTTTAATCCTCATGTAACAAATCCATCTAGAGGCTGCAGCAGAACGGTTTCAACAATTTGATCTCACTTTAAATGTCAGTACCACAAAATCTGTCTGTTTTTTATCTAGAACTCGTCCCACGGAGAATCCACTCTAGAGCTGTCCAAACCGGTCCAGAAAGGGCCGCTGTGGCTGCAGGTTTTGTATCAGACCCAGCAGGAGCAGAGCAGACTCCTCCCATTTCATCAAATCTTCAGGTTAAGACTGAGCTCACTTGAGTTCAGTCTTATTTTTGTTTTGTCCAAAAATGTCAAAATTCCCCTCCAAATCCATGTTCTCCGCCGTTATTAGCCGCAATGGCGTGTCACCTTATTGGCAGTTTATTTGATCCAGCTGTTACTGTTACTATGGCAACAACGTGGTGGAGTGATATAGAGCATGATTTTAAACTCACCGGAACTACATGTAACCGAGGAAGAGCCTAATTGAGCAGTGATTTATTGTACACAGGTAAGGGTGCAGTGAATAGTTAAACAGAGACACATACCATGACCGTTTTGAAAGATTTATTTTTAATTTACTAAAAAGGGAAAAAAACACGTTAATAGAAATGTATGAAAAGGTTATGTTTATTGGGGGCTATGTTAAAATGCTAGTTCTAATAAATAGCAGTGGTAAACTTGAACAAATTCTTTTAAGAGTGGCCAGGACTAGACGGCCGCGGGTGCACGCGGTCAGAGGGCAAATATGTAAATGGCACAGAGTACACACTACACACCGTGCAGTCACACACACACACACAAATGCTAAACCAAATCTAGGATAACTAAAACATGCAGTGAGGGTGAGTGCGAAAAATACCACAGCACACGAGGGGAGTGATGGTGCAGCAGTGAGAGACTCTATCACCAAACCTCCACCAGGCAGGCACCCACGCTCGAACCAGTCCTGGATCACAGGGAGAACAGTGTCAAATCGTACCGTACACCGGTCTTAGTAAATACCCAAAAAAAAAAGAGAATCAACTCAAAATCAAATGTAAGGGGTACAGACTCGTCCCAGCGGTACCTGACTAAATAACCCTATCATTAGACCCAAATAAAACCGACATGTAGCCTGCTGACTCTAGAAAAGAAACAAACAGATTAATATCTACATGCGAGCTCCAATTTAACCCTTATAAAATAAGTCCAAATACCTAGAGCTTAAAACAGTCTGAGCTGGCAGAACAAGATGCCCTCCCAGGCTGACGCACCCCGGACAGGTTAATGGGGTCACTTGATGGCGTCTAAAAACACAAACAGAATGACATTTACCAGCTAGAATGCGAACACAAACAAACAACAACCTACCCGGCCTACAGCTTCTAGCTGTGAGAGAAACGGGACCGGAGCGGATAAAGTTGGTGATCGGGAGGGCAGCCTACCCGTGCATCGCGTCTAGCCTGCTTAAATATGCTAGGAAATAACTGAGGACTGCGGAAGTGCGGGTTGCCGGCTACGAATTACGTAATACGGTGGCCCAATTGGGACAAACAACCAACGGTTACATACAGTATATGTGCGTTTATACAATAATAATGCACGGCAGTCAGCATTGAAATTCTCACAGACCATGGTATGAAACAAGATATGGTTTGTCTATAGAACATTAAATAGACTGTCGATCAACATTAAAGGTGGGGTACCTCACTTTTTATTCATCATTAATACTGACGGAGTATACAGTACACAGGCTCTCTCAATGTATCACAATAAATAATAATTGTGTCAAAAGTGGCTGTGTAAATAGAGCCCATTTATCCTTGTTATATAGGCTGCCAGTTTTAGTTTGTTATTATTGTTTGTGAAGTTGTGAAAGCTGCATAGACTGTAAATATTCACCAACGTAGTCACGCCATACCAATGTTCCATCACTTTTGCATTCTATGGGGCTTTTCAAAATGGCCGCAGGGGCATTCCAGAGTCCAGAGCGGCAAAACTAGACTGGTCCAAAAACATATATTCCCCTCAGCAATGACAGCATCTGAAACGTATAGCATTGGTCCAAGAGCCAGGGACTACAGATGAAAAATAGCCCTTTGGCTAATTCTGGCATATTTACATGCATAATGTATTTTAATATGCACTGTCCCTTTAATAAATAAATAAATAAATAGAGAGCCATTTTTGGACCATCCTGTAAAGACGTTTTTGAGAGGTCAGAAGACGCCATACAAAAGCATTGGGTAATTCCGTTTCCGGGTACACCCCCACAGGCCCGTAGTGGTATTGCAAGCATAACAGCGCATGTGCTCATGGACCTTTTGTAGTCAGGACCGCCCCCACTGGTTGTAAATTATTGTTATTGTTTGTAAAGTAGTGAAAGCTGCTTAAAACCAGGTCTAATACCGTGCGTGTGTGTGTGTGTGTGCGCGTGCGTGCGTGCGTGTGTGTGTGTGCGTGTGTGCGTGTGCGTGCGTGATTACTTTTGCAGCATTCCCCAGTCCTTTGAGTCCCGCATGACCCCTCTCAGTGTGACAGTAGTAGCGCCCCCTGGCTGTGACTGCAGGGTTCTGTATGTGTGTGGAAGCTTCATTAGCATAACATAAGCAGCGACGGTTGAATTATTGATCAAGGCTGTAAAACCGTCAGCGATCGCACACGGGAGGACAGTGTTGATTCAAAGTGATGTCACTGATCCAGAGGAGCTGTGACATGATCAACAAAGCGGTTCTTGTGCATTTCACGCTCGTTCTCGTTTACTACACGCTGCAGAGGGAGATATTTACTCGCGGTTGCTTTTAAATTATACACAGAAAACTGTCTGTCATAGACAGACCAAAGGTTTATGGAAAAAAAGGACTCGGCTGAAAAGATACAGTGACTCGCTTCTGTCTTCTGTATGTACCTGTAAAAAATACATTGTAAAACTGCTCAATGCACAATTACTACTACTACTTCTACTACTACTATTATTACTACTACTTCTACTACTACTACTACATTGAATTAGATGCAATAAAATGAAACCATAAAATAAAAACTAAATACTGTTGTTGCTTCCTGTTCTGTATAATAATATTAGAAGGGCGTGCGTGTGGACACTGGAGTTTGCATGTTCTCCTCGTATCCTGCATAGATTTCTTCTGGGTGCTGCGGTTTCCCCTACCTCTGAAAACATGTGCAATAGATCTTGAATTTAAAAACTAGTTTTCACTGACACACATTTTTGTCTTCAGATCAGGTTTTTAGAGAGGTCCACCCTCACTCGCCACAGCTTTCATCCCAAAGACTCAAATGTAAATATTAAGCATAGCACAACTTTTTGCTTTGAATATAAAATACAACCTCTATCCTCAGTTTAATAAGGTATATCTTCAGATAAATTAGTAATACAGGGTTCAAATGTTCAGAGTGATTCAACCACCGTACAGCAGAAGCACATCCAGCCGAACAAACAAATAAATACTTTATTGTAAAACAAAAAAGCAAGATGAATAATATAATTTGTAAAGCACAAAGAATAGCTGTTTGGGATAAACAGTTTCCAGCACATTCCAAGCAGCATGAGGGTACAGTATGGGCTGAAATGGCTAAATAAGGTAACAGTGGTATTGATACGTGACATGTGAGGTCAGGTGTGCAGTGTCGAATATGGCCTCACTGGACTCTTTCTTACAAGTGCGCAAAAGAAAAGAAGATGGTAGCTGTTAATGCTGGTTCACCAGGTTTCCTTAAACAGTCGTCCGATGAAAGGAAGGAAATTACAAACTTAGATAGATATAAAAGAAGGTTTAATATATAAAACAGAATACATATAAAAGACAGGCAGAGAGAGACAAGCCTGGGTCTGCTGCGGACGACAGGCAAAGCACAAAAGACAGACGCTGATAGTTAGGCCTGCCTTCTTATACCAAAGTTCTAAAACACATGTGACCATATGGTGACAATATGACCTATCGAACTCTAGGTAAGAAAACAATCTTCTCATCCGTCAGAAGAAGTGTCTTCTTGTCTCAACACAGATGTTTTCTGGCTTCATGCTTGTTTACTCTGCTCTTGTTTACTTATGCTCTTTCACTCTTGCCTGGGGGCTGGGAGAATTCTGCATTAGCTGGTTAACTTGACTAGACTAATCTACACACATTTATTAACATGATAATACACATAACATTTCTTGACAGTAGCATATTGTTGTCATATTGGTTTTTTTTGTAAAGACTCCTGATTTTAGGACAAAAGAGTAATATCAATAATTAAAGGAGGTCCAGCTTTAATCAATATGAATATTAAAACTGGTTACGTGTGCGGTTCCTTTACTCCATGGAGGATATGGATGTGTTGCGTCCCCTGGTCCTGCTCTGAACATCTGAACAAGAACATCTGAATAGATAAGTCCCTGGAGGAGAAGCAGATGTACCTGAGTCCTGTTCTGTCTCGCTGCTCTCACGGGTCACGGTTACACTGGTCTCCTTCTGTCCTCTCTGTACAATACTGCTATGACCAAAGGAGGGAACGCAAAACAGGATGTATAGACAAGAACGATGAAGGTGGAGCAGGAAGGGGTTGGGGCTGGAGCTGGAACAGGTGTAGGTCGGAGTTAGCCTGGTCTTATCATACCATCGTACACATTTTATGGCATACTAAGGTCTGGATTTGCTCAATTGAGATATGTTAACTGGTGGGAGGGGTTCACTCCTTTTGCAGATTGAAACGATTGGATCTGAGTTTATGTATGTAATGCGCCCGAGTGAGTGAGGCATTTAGCATTTAGTCTAGCTTTAGCATTTAACCAAGCTTTAGCCATATTCTTTGCCACTAACAGTGTGTGTAGGAAGTAGAGCCACAACATCTTTGCCTGCATTCAAATTTGCTAAACATTCCTCTTGCTCCATTTTCAATTTCTTGATATTTGGAGCCAAACCAGAACGGATTAATTATCGCATTCGCCGCCACCATTGCCAAACTACAACCAGAAAATTCGGCGCAAACTTGTGACGTCACCGACATGCTCGCTGAATAGTCGGAGGGGACAAAACAAAAGTAACCGCAGCCACTAGGATCAGACCCAGACAATGTAGGGAATAATAATTGATTAGAGTTTACGAACGGCTTAGACCAGGCTAGGTCTGAGTGGGAACTAGAGCAGAAATGGGCTGGATGGGAGCAGGAGTGCAATGGCAGAGGTAACACTGGTGATGTGGCGACCGGCACAAGGATCTGCAGGCAGTAGAAAAACGAGATCAGACGAGGATGTCAAAAACTAGCACAAAATGGCAAAAAAACGGCTGCGGTGGCTCCTCACGATTGTAACCTGACAATCTGACAGAGGACTGGTGAAAAGGCCCCGGCTTAAACACTGAGATGGGATCAGCCACGCCCATCAGCAGCAGGAACAGGAGGAGGCAGTGAGGAGCTCAAAGGGAGCTCGATACCAAAACAAATACACTGTCACGGCTACTTTTCATCACGTGGTCAACGGATTCACTTATAACTTTGGAGATTAAGGCTTAGAAGATTCTTTTGATCCAACTGATGCTTTGTGCTTTGACTGAAGGACATAAAGTGCCTGTGCTTTGACTGCAGAACATAAAGGGCCTGTGCTTTGACATATGGACATAAAGTGCCTGTGCTTTGAGTGCAGGACATAAAGTGCCTGTGCTTTGACTGCAGAACATAAAGGGCCTGTGCTTTGACATATGGACATAAAGTGCCTGTGCTTTGAGTGCAGGACATAAAGTGCCTGTGCTTTGACTGCAGAACATAAAGGGCCTGTGCTTTGACTGCAGAACATAAAGGGCCTGTGCTTTGACTGCAGAACATAAAGTGCCTGTGCTTTGGCTGAAGGACATAAAGTGCCTGTGCTTTGACTGAAGGACATAAAGTGCCTGTGCTTTGACAGGGCGCTGACAGAGCTGTTGAAGCAGCAGGGGGCAGAGGGGAGCACCGTGGACACCAGCAGCACCAGTCCCCAGAGCTCCGAGAGAGAGAGGCCCAACGGGACGCAGGCTCGCATCCTACGCAGCCGCAGCGGTGAGTGCGACTACCTATACACACACGCAGACAGAGACACGCAGACACATACACACACACACACACACACACACACGCATTCACACGCACACGCATTCACACACACACACACACACACACGCAGACAGAGACACGCAGACACATACATACACACACACAAACAGACAGACACACACGGACAGACAGACACACACGCATACACACGCACACATAAACATGGTAACCAATGAAAGTTTGCTTGTTGATTCTGTGACTGTGGTTCGGCAACATCACAGTCAAAGAAAGGAGAGCTCTAAACAAGGTGAGACCAGAGAGATACCAAAGAGAGACCAGAGAGAGACCAGAGAGGGACCAGAGAGGGACCAGAGAGAGACCAGAGAGAGACCAGAGAGAGACCAGAGAGGGACCAGAGAAAGGCCAGAGGGAGAGCAGAGAAGGACTAGCGAGAGACTAGCGAGAGACTAGAGATAGACAGACAGAGACCAGAGGGTACGGAGAGAGCCCAGAAAGAGAGTCCAGAGAGAGTCCAGAGATAGACAAGAGAAAGGCCAGAGAGGGACCAGAGACCAGAGAGAGGTACCTCCGCTCTGAAAGAGGACTGTGATCTGCCTGTTCTGGAGGTTCTTTATGAATCCAGACTTTTAAACTGAGCTCTTAGAAGAATCAATGACTCTTCTGGCCCCTGGAAAAACCATGCTTCTTCCCTCTGGCAGCAGATATTGTTCGCTGAGACATGGATATGCTAACAGCTTCTTTCCTCAAGTTGTTTTCAAAGCAGTCTATTGATCTTTCACTTTTGTTGATTTGTTTCACAGCGACCCTACTCTTTTAGCTAGTTTTATTCATCTACTTGTCTTGCGCTCACTGGGGGACTTTTGCACAAGTATTCCAATGTGGTTTTACTGCAAATGGCAAATAAGCTGAACCGGACTCTTCCTAATTAGCGGTGCTGGTTGATCGCCAAAGCAAACGCAGTGTATTGACGCCCGCTGAGCATTGAGAGTAAACAGTAGAAAGAAGTAGGACACATTCAGCCGCACATGTTTTGACACAACATTTACACATGAAATTAAAATGATAATGTATGCAGGTGGAGCCTACAGCCGCCGGAGCCTGTGTGGAGAACGCACAGCTGCTTCTCATCTATTCCACTTAATTTGTGAAGCGTTTGAATGCGTCGCAGTGAGCTGGGACTGAACGGGTGTTTTGGGCGTGCACGGGGAGCTGCGGGCGTGCACGGGGAGCTGCGGTTTGATAGCCGTTTGATAGATACTGGGGAGTTTCACGCATCACTGATGATGTGCTGGACCTGATCATCTGCATGCACTACGATCAGCCAGGATACAATTAGAAACAGAGATAGTCAGATAGATAGATACATAGAGAGATAGATAGATAGATAGATACATAGATAGATAGATAGATAGATACATATAGACAGATAGATAGACAGACAGACAGACAGCACTCTCGCCTTTCAACAAGAAGATCCTGGGTTCGAATCCTGGTCGGAACAGGGCCTTTCTGAGTGGAGTTTGCATGTTCTCTCCGTGTCTGCGTAGGTTTCCTCCGGGTACTCCGGTTCCTCCTACCACTAAAAACATGTACAATCGGTCTGGCATGTGCCTCCTGTACTGGCCTCCCTCCCTTCTCTGTGTGGAGTGAGAGACAAATGCCCAAAAAATAACAATTGTAAACCACTTTGTGACTCTGGTCTGTGAAAGGCGCTATATAAATAAATAGATTACTTTCTTACAGATAGACAGATAGATATATACATTGACATAGATATATATACAGTTCATCCAGAGTGATCATGGGCCTCTTGGCTGCATCTCTGATCAGTCTTCTCCTTGTTTGAGATGAAAGTTTGGAGGGACGGCCGGGTCTTGGTAGATTTGCAGTGGTCTTCCATTTCAATATAATAGCTTGCACAGTGCTCCTTGAGATGTTTAAAGCTTGGGAAATCTTTTTGTATCCAAATCTGGCTTTAAACTTCTCCACAACAGTATGTCGGACCTGCCTGGTGTGTTCCTTTGTCTTCATGGTTCTCTCTGCGCTTTAAACAGAACCCTGAGACTATCAAAGAGCAGGTGCATTTATACGGAGACTTGATTACACACAGGTGCATTCTATTTATCATCATCAGTCATTTAGGACAACATTGGATCATTCAAAGATCCTCACTGAACTTCTGGAGTGAGTTTGCTGCACTGAAAGTAAAGGGGCCGAATAATATTGCACGCCCCACTTTTCAGTTTTTTATTTGTTAAAAAAGTTTAAATTATCCAACAAATTTCATTCCACTTCACGATTGTGTCCCACTTCTTGTTAATTCATGACAAAAAATTAAATTTTTATATCTTTATGTTTGAAGCCTGAAATATGGCGAAATGTTGAAAGGTTCAAGGGGGTACTACTACTAGTAATACTTTCGCAAGGTACTGTATATACATAGATAGATAGATGGATAGATAAATAGATGGCTCACTCCATGCAGAGTGAAACACACTAAACTATGTGTTTCATTTGGGTCAATGACACAAAAAAGTCCTGAAATGTCCCCCGCGGCTACTGCTGAATATTCACAGCACCCACTCTAGTTTCCAGCTGTTGGTCCAGTGAAGGGGCACTACTTAAAGATGCAGTCAGTCATTTCTGTGATTTTTTTTTTTATTGTGGAAAACGTCCTTAAAACCTAAAAGTAGTAAAGTTATCATGTGTTTTCAAATTGTAATGGAATTGACCAGATGTCTACAGTCTACAAAATTGAATACAAAATATTATGGAGCGGACCGATAAAAATAAACCAATGGGATTCGTTTACCCCCTTCACCCTCTTCCTGTTTCTCATGAGTGCCCCGGAGTTATCGGATTTTCAAAAACCTAAAATGACTGAACAGAAAATGCCAATTTCACGTTTGCTCCACTCTCCCTGTTGTGACAAAGAAAAGAAAATGCTGGATGTTTGGTTTGGTGGAGAGGGAGGGGAGGGGGGAGTGGTTTCCAGTTGGTGCTACGGCTAAGCTAACAACGCTTACTGCACCTTTAAAAAGCTTATTTATTCACGCCTGCGCTCTAAGACAGCCGTTTAGGACGTGACAAAAGTGGACACGGTTGTTATTCTTCCATTCACAAAGCCAAATATGTCCCTAAAGTTCAACACAATTTTTTTTGAAAGGCATCCATTTTTCTTGAAATAGCTTTAGCTGCCCATCTACTATGTATCTCTATAAGCTACATAGTATCAAAGAATGGTTAGGTACAGTACAAACTTTTTTGGTTCATGCATTTATATTATTTTCGCTTGAAGTTTGATTGACCCATGGTACGGTTTAGCGTGAAGTGAGCCAGATAGAGAGAGAGAGACTTAATTGATCCCTGAGGCAGAAAAGCAGGGGTCCAGCAGCAGAAACTCATCCATCCATAAAACAAATAAATATATAATTCTAAAAGTTACTAACTTTAGTAATAAAGTTAGCAGCAGAGGTAGAGCAGCCGCTGGTGCTGAGAGGCTTCCTTTCCTTTGGTTGACGTAGAGTCTGCTTGGTTTGGGTTGAAAAGAGCAAAATAACTAACTGTAAAACACAAAACAACAACTGTTCCATTCCAGGGAGTTTCATTTTAAGGAGATTTTTTATCAATAAATTCTACAAAACAGCAGATTAACGAGGCTGTTTTGAAAAGAGGTTGGGTAAGAAAAACACAGACAAAAGAATAATATTGCATCGGTTTTATACAGTGCTTTTTGGACTCTCAAAGACACTGTGTTATTCATTCTCTCCAACTTCTGTAGCCACAGCTGCCCTGGGGCACACTCACAGAAGCGAGGCAACCAATGAAGTGAAATGACGCTCTTTGCAATCACACCTCCCTCTGGTGGCAGCGTAGGGAGTTGCAGCCAGATCGCATTTTTTACACTTGATTTATTTTTCACCAGATATTTTCTACTGAAGATATCATTTCCCATAAAAAAACATGAAATTACAAAGTTATTAGTTTCATTACAATTCATAAGGACCAAAAATATTCTATTTTTAAGTGGGAGCAGGTTTTCAATGAAGTGAACGGACCTGAAAGATGAATGTCTCCCACAGTCTTAGTATTGATCGTGGTGATAGTCTTTGGTCTTTCACAGCGATGTCATTGTGTTTTCTCAGACGTGTAAATGACTCCTGCTGAGTTCTGCTGAGTTCTGCTGACTCCTGCTGAGTTCTGCTGACTCCTGCTGAGTTCTGCTGAGTTCTGCTTCTCGCTCTTGTAAAGTCTCAGACAGATGACACAGGACAGACACACTGGGCTTTGCACCTCAGCGGCGCCTCCCGGTGGGAGAGCAGATATTATATAAGTCATTAAGCAGCAGCTGCCCTTTCACTCTGAGCTTAAAGAATCCTGATGCCTCACTCTCACTGTGGCATTATGGGAAATATGCGGAGAAATATCTGCTCCTCTGTAGTCACCACATCATTGGTGTCTCTGCTTTTACAAACAGCAGAATTCACAATAGTTTACACTTTACAAACATCAGCTACAAAAGTGAAGGATGTCGTCCTTATCGTCTGTGGCCTCTGCCTCGCTAACCCAGATGAAGAAGAGATCATTAACACAGTGTGATCCAGCCAACTTCAGCTCCGCCAATACCGCATTCCTTGTTGTTATTTTTTTTTCTACTATATCAATATTTGTGGATATATGGGGTGCCCATAAAGTCATTCAGCCAACTTCAGTCCCATCAAATGAGCTCAGAAAAGCCCAAATCTCGTCAAATATGTTTCACAATCCGTTTCACAATCCGTCTGCCGCTGGATAATTCTGATCAACTCTTCAAACCGATGATTCTTTGACCTACTTCTCTCCAGACGGAGCTAAACCCAGAGCTGCTTCTCAAGTTAAAACATACTGCACTTTACAGCTTTGCTTTTTACTGCTCCATTCTGACCAGTGTGTGCTCTCACCTGGTGGTGGGTGCTCTCATCTGGTGGTGTGTGCTCTCACCTGGTGGTGGGTGCTCTCACCTGGTGGTGTGTGCTCTCACCTGGTGGTGTGTGCTCTCACCTGGTGGTGTGTGCTCTCACCTGGTGGTGGTACACTGCAGACTTTGTGAACCCAAATATATAGAATTCCTCTTCAGTGTGAGGTTTTACGATGACCTCCTCTGCCGTGGGGCCACAACAACAACAACAACAACATTCTCCAAACACGATTCAAACAGTTGGAAACATTTCCACAAACATTTAATCTGGTCATATCTCTGTACATTAATCTGGAGCCTGCTGAGAGGCCGCTTTCAGTTTTATTTGTAACTAGCAACAGTTCAAAGTGTGAGCAGCCTCTGTGTAGGTCTGTTCTCTGTGAGGTTCTCTGTGAGGTTCTCTGTGAGGTTCTCTGTGAGGCAGGTCCTGCTCCGACCACATCAGAGGTGTTTTGTTACTGTTATTAAACACCTCATTCTGTGCTCATCATTTTAGGACTGAATGGTTCAAATTAGACAAACTCAGATTCCTTCTGTTTGATATGTCTGAGTGTCCTGAGTGTCCCGAGTGTCCCGAGTGTCCCGAGTGTCCCGAGTGTCCCGAGAGTCCCGAGAGTCCCGAGAGTCCCGAGAGTCCCGAGAGTCCCGAGTGTCCCGAGAGTCCCGAGTGTCCCGAGTGTCCCGAGTGTCCCGAGAGTCCCGAGTGTCCCGAGTGTCCTGAGAGTCCTGAGAGTCCTGAGTGTCCTGAGTGTCCTGAGTGTCCTGAGTGTCTGAGAGTCCTGAGTGTCCTGAGTGTCCTGAGTGTCCTGAGTGTCCTGAGTGTCCTGAGTGTCCCGAGTGTCCCGAGTGTCCTGAGAGTCCTGAGAGTCCTGAGTGTCCTGAGTGTCCTGAGTGTCCTGAGTGTCCTGAGAGTCCTGAGTGTCCTGAGTGTCCTGAGTGTCCTGAGTGTCTGAGTGTCCTGAGTGTCCTGAGTGTCTGAGTGTCCTGAGTGTCTGAGTGTCCTGAGTGTCCTGAGTGTGCTGAGTGTCCTGAGTGTCCTGAGTGTGCGTGGGCCTGTCCATGAGGCAGACTGCAGATGCTCTCTTTGCTCCAGTGGATTTGGGTTTTCTCTCTCTGCTACTTTACTCCATTCCTCGTCTGACTCAGTTCATGAAGCAGCAAAGTGCCTGAATGTCAGGGCTGCCACGCATCAACAAAGGGACAAACAACCCGAGTACCTTTTTATTTGGTCAGGTTTGAATGTTTATGATGGGAATATGAGCACGGTAGCAACATGTCAGATCTAAGACGTCCATGGGGAGCTGCTTCACAGACCAACGAGGCCAAAAGCTCATCTCACAGCACTTGATTGTTATTAAATATATGTAAGTAAGTAAGTTAATCATATAGCGCCTTTCACAGACCATACAGTTGTGCTTGAAGTTTACTCAACCAGCCAAAAATGTCAACACTGGAAAACCACCACCAGACTCATTCTAATGTGGATGAAGTGTCTTGCCTAAGGACACAATCACAGATTGGCACTTTACAGCACTTTACTGTGGCACCTGCTGTTCCCAGAGGTCTCCCATCACAGTACTAACCAGGCCATGCCCTGCTTAACCTCCTAGGTCTGACAGGATCTGGCTCAAAAGACTTAGATCAGTCAGAGATGGTAAAGGGCAAAGGATTGGGGGTGAAGGATTGAGAACTGGGGGATGGAGTCAGAAAAGAGGAGAAAAGTTTCTAGAAATGAATGGAAATACAATAATCATGATCTGAAATATGGCAGCACTTCTGTGTGGGTGTGTAAACTTTAGAGCCTAACTGTCCAGATCAGAGGCATGTGTTGAAATAAGTCTGATTCTTGTATATGTTTTTAATTCACTCTGATAGATGTGAAAGTGGACAGAAATCTGACAGGACAAAGGCATTTCTTGTTTTCAGAGAAACTTCTGCCCATGTTGTCCCTATATCCTACTTGCCCCGTGGCTGTAATTAGAACAGAAAGTAAATTGGCCGTTCTTCCCTCTCTGGAGATGCTTTTTCCTTTTACTTCTCAAAGTCATACATAGGTACTTTTATCTCCCTCAACAGTAAACACTGTACGGGCATTTCACCAATTCCCTTTGAAAGCTAGCTCTGGGCTAAATGTGCTCAAATCTGCACACATTCTACCACACGGAGGAGCTGGGAACATACAAGATGACATGGTCCCTAAACATTGGACATTACATAAGGATGGGTTTAGCTGCAGGGTTTTCTGGCCACGAACTGTTGATTTAAAGAAATATGATGCATTTGTTTTGGCACTTTAAAGTGATAATGAGGCTATTTAGTTTGTGACTATTTCTGTGCATGGAATAATATCTTAAGTTGAAAGATGATTAAAGGTTAAAAAGGCTCTCCATCTGTAGTTCTCGATGCTACCACCAGGCAAGGCAAGTTTATTTGTATTCTTTGGTTTCATGAACCTGGCCTGTAGGGGGCGAATGAGCAGAGGTGAGACAAGTCAGTTTTGGTCCCATTGAAAACAATGTAAAGTCTGTTTTGGAGTCAAAAGGCTCTCCTCCTGTGCGGTGTACGGTTGTTGCAACAGTCTTAATCAGAGACACTCAATTCTAAGGAAGTACTAAAAAATATTTCTCAAAAGAGTCTTGATTTTGGGCATTTTTGGAAAGAAAAACAGAAGAAATTGCTGCGTTTCATTGGGGTGGCCTGCAGGGGGCGCTTATGTGCGAAAGCCTTGATCCACCTCGCCCGCCTCATTCCAGTGATTTTTTTCCAAGTGTCCTCGTTTATCTGAGACCACAGTTGGAACATGAACAAACTCTTTATTTGTACGGTTGCTACTGCACCGCCAGGGTACGTCACGTCCTGTCCCACGTTTGTTATTCGAGCCACTGCCCTGACGTCATATGAAACCCAAGAATAGCACAGTTAAAACACAAGGTAACTCAAAGTGCTTGACAAAATCTGAAACGCTGCCATCTCATGTTTAGTCCTGACTCTGGAACCAGCAGGAGGCCAGTCCCTGTGCTCCTCAAAGTCCCAACAGGAATTCAGTCCCTGTGCTCCTCAGAGTCCCAACAGGAATTCAGTCCCTGTGCTCCTCAGAGTCCCAGCAGGAGGCCAGTCCCTGTGCTCCTCAGAGTCCCAGCAGGAGGCCAGTCCCTGTGCTCCTCAGAGTCCCAGCAGGAGGCCAGTCCCTGTGCTCCTCAGAGTCCCAGCAGGAGGCCAGTCCCTGTGCTCCTCAGAGTCCCAACAGGAGGCCAGTCCCTGTGCTCCTCAGAGTCCCAACAGGAGGCCAGTCCCTGTGCTCCTCAGAGTTGGCGGTCCATATAGCACTAAAATGTCTCGGATGTACCAGAGAAAAGAGATGAATTTTTCAGTTTCTAGTTCAAAATGACCTGCTGAAAACACAGTCAAGAAAGTAAGAAATGACCAAAACAAATGTGCTTTACTTTAGTTTGAAAAGACAGAGAAACTGCTCTGAGTGTGATGTCATCATGGTACAAGGGCATCATTCTACTACAGGAGGAAGACTGACGATGACGAGTCCACCTGTCGCCTGGAGATAGATGACCTAAAAAGTTATAACCTTGAGCCCAACATTAGAAACTCAAAGATCTAAAAATGGACTTAACTGTCACAAGGTAAATAAGGAAAAACCAATATGTGTTATACAAGCGGTAATAAGTCATTTTAAAAAAGTAAACATTTTGACAGAACAGGGAGAGAAGGAACACACAGGGTTTAAATACACAAGACACACCCAGTCACCATCAAGGGGACACCAGTGGAGAGAGAGGACCAGGGAGTGGACCTGCTCCCACTGAGGTGTCTTTGGTGACGGAGCAGCCAACCTCCCATGGACCCACCACCTGCAGGAGGATCAGTGAAGGGCTGGTGCTGTGAGAATTAGGTGGCAGCTCTGATTGAAAGGATCTCTTCAATCTTAATCAGTATGTAAGAATCTGGCCAAAAGTGGTACTGCAGCCTCTCCCACTCTCCCTGACTCAGGTTGCCAGATATGCAGACGAATCCAGCTGGGACCATAACAGCTGAATAGACAAGAGTTTTGTCAACAACAAATCTATAATCAACACCTTTTTCACAAAGATAGAAATCCTGGTTTTATTCCTTGTTTTGTCGTTAATGATTTGAGAATCATAACGAGACCTTTTTTAGTTCTGCGCCACATGGTACTTTACCAGTGAGATTAGCTCCACGAGGTGAGTTCTGGCAACCTGGATCACGGACTTTCTGATTGGTGAAACGGTGGAGGGTGGAACTGCGAAATGAATTCAATAACAAGATTTAGGGGCTGGAAAACACATTTTTTAATCAAAATATCTCTGAACTACTGTTATCAATTACAGAAGTATTTCAAAGGAACATGTTTTATTAATGCCTTTTGACAGATTAGGGCCCTTTAATGATGGCGTGACATGAACATCTTACATATAACTCCTTAAATCTTAATCTCTTGTGTCTTCCAGAACAGTACCATTTGAACAACTCTCCGTTCGGACCAGGGCTGCCGCATGCACACAGCAACCAGAGCAACTTGGGACTCAACAAGTACACTTCCCTCAAAGCAGTGGGTAAGTTTCCCCTGACAGTAAGTTTCCAGTGACAGTAAGTCTAAGCGACGGTTTCACCTTTCCACTACAGTAGGTCGGCTCAGCTTTCCTAAAGTTAGCGGCAAAATGTTAGAGACAACCCCCTGTGGACACGGATTACTCATTCACACGTTTCATGAGGTTTATACGGTGCAAAGTAGTCATAGATCTAAGAGAAACGAGTCCAGGTCATTGCAGCGTAACTCCAGGGTAAGTAATAAAAATACAACAGGAAAAATAAAGAAAAAGCGCATCAAAAATTAGTGTTTCTGCAAGTTTTTTTGTATAGCACAGTTCATACACGAGCTCACAGTGATGAACAAAACAAGAAAGAATCACGCAAGGAACTATAATAGTATATAATCACAGTACATTAAAAAGAGTGAAGATACATCCAGGGAACAAAAGATACAATGAAGGAGGCCAGTCCCTGTGCTCCTCAGAGTCCCAGCAGGAGGCCAGTCCCTGTGCTCCTCAGAGTCCCAGCAGGAGTCCAATCCCTGTGCTCCTCAGAGTCCAAGCAGGAAGCCAGTCCCTGTGCTCCTCAGAGTCCCAGCAGGAGGCCAGTCCCTGTGCTCCTCAGAGTCCCAGCAGGAGGCCAGTCCCTGTGCTCCTCAGAGTCCCAGCAGGAGGCCAGTCCCTGTGCTCCTCAGAGTCCCAGCAGTAGGCCAGTCCCTGTGCTCCTCAGAGTCCCAGCAGGAGGCCAGTCCCTGTGCTCCTCAGAGTCCCAGCAGGAGGCCAGTCCCTGTGCTCCTCAGAGGTTCATGGAGGGAGTAGAATTAAAGGCAGTGAAAGGAAATAGGACAAATGTGAGTCACATTTGTGTTTTGGAGATAGATCAAACGCTGCACGGATAAAACGTGTTGAATCATGGAAACATCTTTTTCATACAACTATATGATTTTGTGGGAGCTTTGTCACGGTACGCCAATTATTTGTATAATTCCATGTGACAGGGGTGTCCAAACATTTTAGTAAGAGAAGATGGCCACTACAGTTCACCAGACTAGGCCAGGGGCGTCACGGACTGAAAAACTGACTTGACTGTTCTGGGCTTTACAATGATCTGTAACAGAGCTGAAGTTGGCTGAATGACTAATGTTTATCACCTCACCAGCAACAGTAGCACCATTAGCAGAAGTTTGTGACACAATCAAAAACATACAGGGCTTTATAACCAGGTAAGACATGAGCTGAAGTTGGATGGATGACACAGTGAACTTGTGTTTATGATCTCAAACACTACTTTACATTAGCAAGGCAGAGGGCCACATGATAGGATACTGAGGGCCGCAATTGGCCCCCGGGCCTGAGTTTGGACATGCCTGCCATATGACTATTTTCATTCAAGCTGCTTAGGATTTAACTGTATTCTAACTGAATATTTTATACTATTTTAAGACCCTTTATGCCTCAAACTAAAGCCTGGAAATTGCCCTTGTAGCTTCTCATTTATTTGATTTAGAAGTGGGAACAATCTCTGCACAGAGTTTTATGAACTCCAAAGTCCACCTCCATGTTCTTTGGTTATTACACACACACACGACAGCAGCAGGGGCACTTTTTATACAGAAACCTGGCACTCTACAAACCAATTTATGTCTGTTCATATTACAGTTCAACTCGTCCTCTGTTTCTTATATTTCTGAACAATTCGGGTACAAACAAACTCATTAAAAAAAAACTAGAGTATTCCTTGCAGTCACCCATCCAAGAACAGACTTGCCAATTTTGCTTAGCGTCTGCGATCGGACCGCCGTGATACGTTACATCCACTTTCCGTCCTCAGTAAGTGAACAATAGCCATACTAATTATTTTAATCAGTGTGGCTATTGTTCAATTAACTTGTGCCGTGTGCTCCTCTTTCCTACTGTTCTATAACTTGTAATGCAACACTGACATTTCAACTGTGGTACGAATGAAGGATCTCTTAATCTTAATCTTAAACTTTGAACAGAGACTTCTCTTTGAATTCCGTCATTAGAATCTAGAATCCGCCGTTAGCTTAATTTCGTCTCCGGGACAGAAATGATGAATGAGGCGACAGCGGACTGCGGAGCGAGCCTTGGGGGACTCCTTAATGTTTTGAACAGAAGTTATGACTGTCACTTTTATTATGACAACTCCATAAAAATCTTCTGTGATGGAAGAGAAAGTTTGTGACTAAAAAAAGACACTCTGGTCCTCAAGGTCGCGGTCCATGTGGCAGCGAGGCCAGCGGCGGTGACCTCGCTGTTTAGTGTATTTAAATAATTCTCAGTGACATTCAGGCTCGTGCGTGACACAGGCAAACACACTGTGGGCGAGGGTATTTTTAAACCCAGCGTTGCACCCTATACCTCCAACTGCCCTGCCCACTGCTGCCTGCTCGCCCCTGGGCCCTCCATACATCAGGAGAACCACAACAACTCAGGGCTAGTCACCAGTGAATACACAACTGTGCGTTCTACTTTGATCTTCTTCAAATACACTTTAATAAGTTGCTCTGCGTTTAACATATTCTTGTGTGTGTGTATGTGTTTATTCTTGGTGGTATGTTCTTGTGTGTGTGTGTGTGTGTGTGTGTGTGTGTGTGTGTTGCCTTTGCCTGTGGAAGTGACTAGGGGAGAAGGTCAAGAATAACACAGGATCCGTAGCTAACAAGAAAAATAATGACAAAAGGCGACAGTGGCTCAGTTGGTAGAGCATTGGCCTTTGGGTCTGAAGGTCGTGGGTTCGAGCCCACCACGGGACCTTCTCCAACGACTCCCACTGATGACTGCTGTCGTTGTGTCCTTGGAACACCAGGTGCCACAGTGGGGCGGCTGCGGCTGTAAAGTGCCAAACTGCCGTTGTGTCCTTAGGCAAGACACTTCACCCCCATTAGAATGAGTCTGGTGTGTGTGTGAAGTGATGGTTGGTGGTGGTGGGAGGGGCCGATGGCACAGACTGGTTGCCTCGCTTCTGTCAGTGTGCCCCAGGGCAGCTGTAAATACAGTAGTAGTTTATCACCACTGTGTATGGAGTGAAAGAATAATGACATGTGAAGCGTCTTTGAGTGTCCAAAAAAAACCGATGAAATTATTAAAAGTCATGATTGATCGGAAACGCACTGATTCCCATCCCCTCTTTCAACATCTTCAAATGTGTTTAATTTACCTCCTTTGGTTTTACACACTTTCTAATTTGAACAATAATATCGTGATTCTTGACTTTTCAATCGGTGTGTACAAAAAAGACAAAGAGTTTTTTTTAATCTTTTTGCAGCGGACAGTGCCTCCCACAAATACTACAAGAGCTACCCTCTGATGGACTTCTCCCAGTACCAGCCGGTGGCCCCTCCCACCTCCCAGTCCAAAGAGAAGTCCTACCTCCACCAGCCTCTGTCCTCTGCCCTCAGCGGCCCCCACAACAACCACCCCCACCCTGTGTCCATCTCCATCCCCTCCACCAGCCACCCGGAGCACTCCCGCCTGTCCAAGACCACCACCCACCCCCTGCTCTCCAGCTCGGCCTTCACATCCTGGGAGCCCAGCGCACGCCACGTCCAGAGACAGACCTCGGCTCCGGGGCACGATGCGGCCCGCATGCACAACCCCAACCGCAGGCACACCACCTTCTCCGCCCGCAGAAAGCCGAGCTCGGAGAACGTGCCGGACCTGTTCAGCCCGCCCTACGGGGCCGCCTACGGGAACACGGGGCAGGGGCCGCACCACAGCCAGGGCCACCCTCCACAGATGCTCTACTCCAGGCCCAAGAGCTTTTCCACGCACAGCGCTACAGAGGTGACTGTGTAAAGTTGATTGATACCTTTGAAATATACTGTATGAATAGTAGCTGTGAACTTTTGGTGCAAACTCCAAAGCATTATAGATGGTTTATTTATGTGAATGTGTGGTTGTGTCGACATAATTCTTGGGTTTCATGAACCTGGCCTGTAGGGGGCGAACGAGCAGAGGTGAGACAAGTCAGTTTTGCTCCCATTGAAAACCAGTCAAAGGCTCTTCTCCTGTGCGGTGTACGGTTGTTGTAACAGTCTTAATCGGGGACACTCAATTCTAAGGGAGTACTAAAAAATATTTCTCAAAAGAGTCTAGATTTCGGGCGCTTTTGGGAAAGAAAAAAAAATAGTAGAAATCGCTGCGTTTCATTGGGGTGGCCTGCAGGGGGCGCTTATCTGGGAAAGCCTTGATCCACCTCGCCCGCCTCATTCCAGTGATTTTTTCCAAGTGTCCTCCTTTATATGAGACCACAGTTGGAACATGAACAAACTCTGGTCTTTCTCTCTATTTGTGCAGTTGCTACAAGCGTACACCGCACACAAAGATGGCATTTTGACAGCGCTTCTTCTTCTACTATATCTCCGTGTATAAACCACTTCTTCTTCTACTATATCTCCGTGTATAAACCACTTCTTCTTCTACTATATCTCCGTGTATAAACCCGGCAGACTGCAGCGCCAGGATACGTCCTGTCCAACGTTTGTTATTCGCACCACTGCCCTGACGTCATATGAAACCCAAGAATACACATGACAGCGACAGTATATGATCAGAAACATGTATCAGCGGTAGGGTCTTGCGTTTCTTAGTTTGTCGAACCGCGGAGACAGAAGAGAGGGCGTAACTCTGCAGGGTCTTGGTCACGAAGGCAGAAAGGGCTGATTAGAGTCAAGACTGGAAAAAGCAGTATTTTTGTTACACTTGTAAATTGTACACATGCCACTTTGAAATATTTGTATTGTGTGTTTTGTAATGAAGTTAGTGAAATCAAAACTTTTAAAATCCGACCAAATACTCCCTACAACTGGATCAGGACAGCTCCTTGAGGAGGTGTTAGAGAACCAGGGCAGACCAAAGACACTCAGGGCCAGTGTGTGCTGTGTATTATTGTGGTATTGTAGATTTTTTATTTATAACTTCTTCACTGTAGAAAAAAAAAGAGTCTAATCAGAACAGGGGGGATGTTCGTAAAGTTTTCTATTGAAATTTCTGTGGAAAGTTGAGCTGGGGAATTTTGGGAATTCGCCATTGCTGGAAATTAATTGTGAAGTAATTAAATTGTATTATATCCAAATATAAATCAAAACAGAAGACATAAGAAAACATGAATGCATTTTATTCTCAACGTATTTGTTATCGTCAAGACTAATTTCACTTTATTGAAGGCAAACATTTGAGCCTGTGGACAAAACAGTCTTGTCCTCCAGTCTTTTTGAAATCTCCTGTAGAGGCACATGGCCAGTAGGGGGAGCTGTCTCAATCACATGCAGTAAGCAGTGTGCTATGTGCATGTGACCATATATGACCATGTTATAGAAAGATTTGGCACTTATTTTGTGTTTTGATTTCCGTTGTTCAAGGCTCATCTTTACTGACACTCACCTGCACATTTAAAACACAAGATTATGGTAAAAGTGCTGGTGCAGAATGTGTGGTGCGGTAAAGAAAGTACATAGCACATACTCGTACAAAGTGCTCATGCAGTTGAATAAGGATGAACGTGGAACCTGCCCCAACAACGTGTCGTTTAATGAGCAAAGTAAATGTAAATCTGTCGCACAATAACGCCTTCCACTACAGATCCTTTATTCGTCCCACAGTGTGGACTTTTCAGATTTTTATTATATTTATTTGTCATATATTCACTGTGCAGTAAGTGGAGTTTCAAATATGCATTAGAGGGAGGATTATTCCTCTGTCCCTGAGTTTCATGACACTTTGGAGGAGCTTCTTTTTTTATACTCGCTTTAAAGAATAACCAAAAAATGCTAATTACAGATACCATCCATCCATTTTCTTTCCCTTAATCCATTTATGGGTCGGGGGGGTGGCAGTCAGAGCTGCACCCAGTACACACAGCACCAGCCCCTCACTGATCCTCCTGCAGGAGAAGAGTCCACAGGAGCCTTGATCTTTCAGCGGGGGTTTCAGGTAGGGGTGGGAACCTAAGGGTACCTCACGATACGATACGATACACGATACAAAGCTCACGATAACGATTATCGATATATTGGTCAGAAATATACCATATGCCAATTTATGGCATAAATAAAATAAAAATGTCAAGTGAAAAGATACACTTTATTTCATGATAAATGGAATGGAGATGCGTAATGTAGCCATATATTAAGTATTGATAATAATTTTAAAAAAGAAATAGAAAAAAAATAAAATAATTGAAAAATGTAGGGGGGTTTATTGTCTTGCCCAAGGACAAAACCACATCAGATATCAGTGGAAGTTGTGAAGTAGGTCCTGTGGTGGGTTTGAACCCACGATCTTCAGGCCCAAGGGTCAATGCTCTACCAACTGAGCCACTGTCGCCCTCAGTTCTATAACAGGGAATTACAGATACATTTTGCACAAATCAAGCACGGCTTAATCATTTTTTGTTGTGAATTCCTTAACAAACTAAATTTGAGCAGGTCTAGATGGTCAGACCTGTCTTTTACCATGCTGCTTTACCTCCACAAGCACTGCCCATCTGTTCCTCTGTTCCCTGCGCTTCCCTTTGGCCTTTGGGCTCGGTCTCTCTGGCCCATTCTGCTCTCTGCTTTGCATCCTGTGCCACGAGGCCAGGCAAGCAGGGACAGGCTCCCGGGGTCACATTAACTCCGCGGTGAGGACAATGGCACCAACATGTCAGCTTCCATCAGCCTCCGCTCCAACTAGAGCCAGGGTGTAAGGGCCAGGGGCGGCTGCTCTTTAGAACAGAGGGAGAGGACGAAACACAAAAACAAAAAGTAGACAGAGAGAAGGTTGTTTTCCGAGCTCAAGGGGATGGAAAGTAGTGTTTGGGTCATAGCTGTTGTGGTAGTGTGTGGTCCCAAGTCCTCCGGGCGTCAACGCCTGAGGCATCAGCCACAACAAAGGACATACTCTAGATCTAATCCTAATCCTAAAGCTGGTGGCATCAACGCCCCGAGGCTTTGTACAAACAAGTAAACAAGAAGCACTTACATAATGTACATCAAAATATGACTAACACAAATTTACAAAGATGTTTTACAGAAAAGCACCTCCTTGTTTTCAAATGATGCCCAAACTAAACCAGCAGAAACTATTCCACAGGTTTTATGGTTTGGGATTATATTAGATTTATTTTATAGTTATCTTTAGATATCATTTGAAACAGCCCACAACACTTTATTCATGTGAACACCTCTCATCTCATACATGGGCAGTGTTGGGTAGAATACTTTGATACAAAATACATAATACTCGCTAAAAATGCATTTTCTTACATATTCCGTTCTATGGTTAAATAAGAGTACCGTATTCTGAAAACTGAAAAACGTTTGCGCTGAATTGCGCAAGAATTCAATGTGATACAGGATTAAAACAGCTTTTTGTTAGTTATAAAATGAAAATCTGACACATACTTTTGTTTCTTGTGTTATCTCTTATCAACATTGCGTGATCAAAATGCAATCCATAAGTTGTTTTCATTTTATAACATACGTAAAAACACAAATCCCGAGACTGAAACAAAAACATGAAAATATGTGTTAAAAGAAACATACACACCCACGAAAGTCTGAAGGTGAGACAGTGAGTGTAACTGTATTCCAATTACCACCTAAATAAATATATTCGAAACACAGATACTCATGTGTTGTACCTCCCCAATACTGTACAAAGGGAGCTCTAAAACCCATAAACATTGTAGATCATTTAACTACGTCTGCAAAGGTGAATTTCATATTTCAGCAAAGACATTTTATACGCAAGCATCATTTATATTGGGGCCAGTTTCTAAAAGCAATAGACATTTTTGTAAGTTCTGGTGCTTGTAATGTCCTCACTTTACAATGTATTTGTATCATGAAATGTATGTACAACTGTTGTTCAAAGTAAAACTGTAAATAAATATAAATGGGTTTATATTGTTTAAAAAGGGCTTTGTTTGTGATTAAAGTTATTATACATGGGTTAAATGAAGTGAGTGTTTTCTATGTTTTGGTTACACACGTGCTTTGGTCATTGGTCCATGTGTAGCCAAAATTGGTACAGCAACTTCTCCCACTCTCCCTGACTCAAGTTGCCAGATATGCAGACAAATCCAGCTGGGTCAACAAGCGAGTTTTGTCAACAATAAATCTAAAACCAACACCTTTTACACAAAGGCTGTGACAGAAATCCTTGTTTTTTGTGGTTAATGATTTGAGAATCATAACGAGACCTTTTTCAGCACTGAGGTCACATGGTACTTCAGTGAGATTAGCTCCACGCAGTGAGTTCTGGCAACCCAGATCCTGGACTTTCTGATTGGTGAAACGGTGGAGGGCGGGACATCGAAATGAAAACAATAACAAGATTTAGGGGCTGGAAAACTGATTTTTAAATCCAAATATCTCTGAACTACTGTTATTGGTTAAAGAAGTATTGGAAACGATCAGTTTATTTTCTTTTGACATTTGGGCCCTTTAATGATGACATGACATGAAAATCTTACATATTGCTAGTTAATTCTTCTAAACTGATACACATACATTTTCACATGACTGTATGTAAAAGCGACAGTAGCTCAGTTGGTAGAGCATTAGCCTTTGGGCCTGAAGGTCGGGGGTTCGAACCCACCGTAAGACCTACTTCACGACTCCCACTGATGACTGCTGTCGTTGTGTCCTTGGGCAAGACACTTAACCCTACTTTGCCCAAAGCCCCCACTGAAAGATCTCAGCTCCTGTGGACTCACCACCTGCAGGAGGATCAGTGAGGGGCTGGTGCTCAGTGGACTGGGTGCAGCTCTGACTGCCACCCCCCCGACCCAGAAATGGATTAAGGGGAAGAAA